AGGATCGGTGGCTGCCTCCACCCCCCCTCCCGCTACCCCCACCCCCCCAGACCTCTTGGCTTTGGCTGGCTCAAGGGCATCCACTCTCTGCCTTTCAAAGCATCAGGAACCCCATTTCCCATTCATTCAATAAGCACCGACCTAACCTACCGGGCACCTACTGGGCTGTTTGCTTTCCCCACAGCACTGCCCACCCCCCCCCCCAGGAGGGGAGGGGAGGGGAGGGATGGAGAGGGATGCAGACAGGATCCTTCCCAGGGCGAGGCAGAAGCCGGTGGGAGCAGAGGTGCTATAAGCAAATGCCAACTGCACCTGGCGGCGGGTGCACTGAGGAGGCTGGGGGCCGAGGGGTGGGCCCCCTGCACCGGCTGCTGCCCCCTTCCTGAGCTGCTGCTGTATGCAGGGCAGGGTGTGGGAGGGTTAGCCTGAATGGCAGACCTGGGTGGGGGTGGGGGGGTGCTGCCTCCAGCACGGGGCCGTGCACCCAGCTCACAGAATCTGTGGTCTGTCTTCCCACCCGGGGGAGCAGCTAGAAGGACCAAGGTGGGGTGCGGTTGCCGGAACAATCAGCCAACCCCAGCGGTCGCTTTTCTGCCCGCCCCCCCCCCCCCCCCGGCCACCGTGTTCCTTCGAGCTGCCGTTCGTTTCCCTCTTTCCTGACCCTCCTGACAGAGTTTATCAAAGTGAAGTCCAGAGGCAACCCCCATTGGCATCACGTGGGACGGAGCAGGGGCTTATAAGAATACATGGGGGGGGGGGGCTCCTATCTCCTGAAAGCCTCCCGGGGGTGAGGCCCTCTTAGAATCTGCATGTGTTGCAAGAACCCCCACGCTGCGTGGCATACGATTGTGACAGCCCCACGGCGCCCCACTGCTTCCAGGACCAGCCTGCCTCTGTCCTTGCCTGCCAGCTCCTTACGGGGGTCCTTTGGGCACCGCTCTTCCTCTGCCCATCCAACAAGCCCCTTGTTCCCCTTGTCATCCATGCCTCCTGCGCCCCGGGCTAGACTTTATTCCGCCCTCGGGGGGCCCGCAGCACCCAGGCTTGACATGACCAAAGCCGACCCCGCCATCCTTTCTCCAGAACCCACCTTCCTCCCCCACGCCTTTGGTGCTCACCTCAGCAAGCCCCTTTCCGCCTTCCTCTCTCATCTCAGCAACAAACACATCCTGGTTATTTTGCCTCCTACAAAATGTCCTCAGTGTCCCCCTCTCCCCAGACCCTTGCCTTTATCCCCTAACAGGTCCCCCCCCCCCCCCCCCCCCCCCCCCGCTGGGGTGTCTCCTCCTTCCAGGGAGTTGGGGGG